GGAAGAGCAAACTCCCACTTCAGCCCAATTATCACTGTCACGTGGTCAAAGCTTTACTAGGGTAGGCTAGGGGAGAACCTTAACGCAGGACACCACAGATCACCACGTCACATGACTGTAAACTGTAACAATTACAGTTGCATAAAATCTTTCACACTCAATATTTTGATATTTAATTGTTTAGTGAACCAAAAAAAAATACTTCAGTCTAGGACTCTATGTTCTAAAGCAGCACATAAATAAACAGGGATTAATATTACGAGGGGCTGGTCTGTAAAAGCTCCTATTTCTGCCTTGTTGATTCAACAGAATATTTTGAAAAGTCTCTGATCAGCGGTAGTTATGCTATAAAGAACACCACCAACGTACCTCTTTACTAACACACTGTCAGTATATGAAACGTTGCGTTACGGTACGTTTAACGATGGAGTGGGTAAAGCATGAGTTTGAAACAACAGTACGCCGACAAAATCCATGGATTTGGGCGACAGCGCAGGAAGAGTTATCATGAGATGTTCTAGCAAAAACACATCTCCTCCTTCCTCGGGCACCGACAAGCGACGCTCAGCGTAGGCAGGCACTTTGTGGCAATTCTGTTGTGAAAAAAGCTATGAGCCCCCCACTGATACACCTATTTGAGCACATCTGTGGAGCAATTAAAGTCAGTAGGAACACTCCTCGGCTTAAAATGAGACATTTGCGTGTTTCCGCAAGGCCAGAGTCTGGATGTGAGTAACCACCAGTGAGCGCATTACTCGGCTGCTGGAGCTCCAGCTGCAGACCAGTGTTTGAGCACCTTGCACCGGGAACGCCCCGGAGCTGCAGGTGGCCGCCTCTCGTACAGCAGTTCTGTTCAGTTCCTGGGGCAAAACCCCAGCCTTCAGCACGCCCCTGCTCACCGCACGCTGTTTGAAGACTGGCACAATGACCTGTTCTGATGCCCTCTTCATGCGGCCGAGCACGGTGAGGCTGAGCACTGCTAAGCGAAGTCAACGCTAAACCAACAATTTTTCTTACCACTAAACTTAAGCATTAACGCAGAAGTGTACGTGCAAAGCAAGCATTTTGCTGCAAGTACCACCAGGCCTATTCTCAGAAATGGCCCTTTGCAATTACCCGAGGTCTTACTGGTAATCGCTTTCCCAAGAAGCATTGTCCTGTACCTGTACTTGTGAGATGCCTCCCCACAAACCCTAGTGTTACTCATGATTCAGAGACAAACCATGCTTTCCAAAGCTTGTAGCACAACAAAGCCTTATTGTGATGATACCAACTGAAATGTATTGAAGATCTACTCGATGGAAAACCAAGAGCTGGCACCAGTTGGAAGATAAGACTTACATTTCTTCACCAAAGAATAAGCCTCATCTATTCTTCTCCTTATCGATGGATTCTTCAAAGTCACTTTTGCCTGTAGCACACATGAACACACAAAGTACAGCTATTTGACTTTCTTCCTCACATTTTCACACTTCAACGACAAAGTTCAGAAAACGACAATAATTCAGCAGAACATGAGCTGCAGGAATTTTGGAACTAGCACATGACTGTACCATCACCCAGACTGCCTTTACAAAAGCAGTCTCAAATCACAGAGGACGAGCTGCCACCTCACCATGCCGTTTAACCTCCCGGCCTGCGCAGCTATGCGATTAAAATCATACAATGGAACTACTACTGTAAACTTTTATTTTTATTTACTTAAAGGTTACTGTAGTGTTCACAGCATAATAAAAGTAACATCACGATTTCTTCAGGTATTTCTCAAGTACTAACCTTCTGACAGTTGTAAAGCAAGGCCCAGAGTGAAGCTGCTCCTATTCTCTGAACAGCATGACTGTCACTTTCCAAGCAGGCAGACAGCACTGCAATCGCCTTATCTAATGGGAAAAATTAAAAAAGCATCTAGAAAATATCACCAAAAGCATACAGATATGTTTATACATCTCAGTGTTTTGATACTTGGAGAACACTTATTTCTGCGACAAGTATTGGTATGGCAGAAGAATTACAGAAACTTTATTATCGGATTAATTAAATTTAAATATGCTCACGAAACCGGCAGGCTACGTTGAAAGGAGTGTTAAAAAGAATAGAGCAAAACAAAACCAAGCAATGCCAAAGACTCAAGCCACCAGTTATAAAACACGCACATTGCGCACAGCCACCAGCCACGCGCAGGGACGGAGGAAGCCACTAAACTGTTTTACAGCTCCCAGTAGCCCCAATTAGCGCCGCACCAGGATGGCAATTAAGATGCTTCTGTTTTCCTTAGTACTTATTACGTGGAGGACTTGTAACCCGAGAGAAGTATTTGCCGCCCCGCTGCAGGTGCCTGCGTTTCCCCGCCTCGCCCTGAAGCCAGACTCGTCAAGGCGCCTGCTGCACTTCCTAACAGAAGTCCAGGGACCGGGTAACTGAACAGCGTACGCTCCGCGCAGGCAGCACATCAGCACCTCGGGGGGGAAAGAAAAGCGTGGACCCTACGGAAAACCTGCTGAGACCTGACAACAGAGACAGAGGCACTCCTGCAGCTGAACGGGGGGACACACACGCCTTTCACAAACAACCGGGACACAAGCTCTGGGCGTGTTGCTACGGTAATGCAGGTGCCACCATCGTCACTTTGTCACTATCACAAAGGCTCTCTGCACACGGCAGAACACAAAACAGTCTGTCTCAGCACCCGTGACGTGCAGGAGTGAACCAGGTTTTGTCCAACTGAAAAGCAGGAACTTCAGTGATCTCAAACTGACTGACACGAAGAATCCTTCAAATCCCCCCCAGAAAAACGAGCTGTTTCAGGAAACTGCAAAAATCCTTTCATTCATAACGTGTTACTACATTCAAATGATCGGTCTCACAATAAATCTTGATTTTTAAAAAAAAAAAAACAAACCACTTTTATTTGCTTTGCCCTTGCTACATATTATTTTAATTGCTTTTCTGCCAAAACAAATGTTCTATAGTTACTTCCACAAAAACAATTTTTATAAAAATGCTTTTCTAAATAATGCTATGGAGTTCTTGGTCAGTAACCCAAATTGCCACAAAAATATGGTATTCCAGAAGACACGATATTCCAAGGATAAACCAGCTCGTATACCCTTCAGATACTTACCATTAGCCAATATCTTTGGCTTATTGGTTGGACTAAAACACACGTTGTGCAGAATTAGAAGTGCCAGATGTTGGCTGCTCTTGTGTTTGGATTTACACAATTCCACGATCTGGTCCAAAAAGCCATTTATCTTCATGATCATCTGCTGTCCATCTTCTCCAAAAGATATGTTCAGCAGCAGCTTCAGCCAAAGAGCGGACAGGTTACCAGGATGCTTGTTACTTCCCTTGGGCATTGAAAGGGACGAAAAGTTCTGCAGGAAGTTACTCTGCCAGAAGAAGAAGAAAGGTGTTAGAACATACAGTGTTCTGTGGTTTGTTCAGTGCTGTTTGACACTCCCGTCTGCGCACGTGACCAAAACCTAGTACTGGTGTTTCAGTTACATATTTCAGGGAGCCTGTTATTAGTCAAGGACTTTTGAAAGAATTACATACGAAAAAGAGTCCACATCTCTGTTAAAAAGTTAATGTGGTAAAATACATTTTCTTCTGGAACGATTTATGCAGTGTAGATACACAAAAGTTGACCCAACACAATATATTTCTTTAAACAGAGTAAGGATCGTTCGACATACAAATTAAAAAGGGAAAAAGCTCACATTTCTATAATAAGAGATTTCCACCTAACAGCCGATTCCTGACATGTAGGACAACTTCTCTAAAACTACCATTTTTAGAGGTCACCTGATGATCTGTACAACGTTTAATTTCTGTTTACTCAGGTGCCGGCTGTTCTGCTGCATGCTCACCTCCGTGATTCACCGGCGATTACGATCCGTACAGATGGGCGTTGAAGACAACTCACCCAGCAGACCCAACGGCTGTGCCGCCCGCAGAGGATCCCTGCCGACCGCAGGACACCCGCACCGCGACACGAGGGCTTGTTAAGAAGGAAGGCGCATCCATCACGTGGCCAAGAGTCCCCAGCGCTGCTCACTCACCTTCTGAATGACACCTTTACAGTCCTGCGACAGCGCGAGGTTGGCAAGGAGGCCGAAGGCCGCCTGCTGCAGGGGGCCGCTGTCGCCGGGCAGCTGGGAAGCCAGTCTCAGGACGCTGTGCGCCACCGAGGCGCCGACTGCGCTCCGCCCGGGCGGGAGGGAGGGCTGTCCACCGCCGGCCCCGCACAGGGAGGCACAGCCTTGGAGAAACGAAACCTTTATCACACGGGAAATGCACGGAGACATCAAAAAGAAGGTGTAGACAGAGCAGCCTAGGAGCTCAAGGACGGAGACGAGACTTTTAAAGGACTGGGGTCCTGCTCTCTGAAGCACAGTGGAGCCAATGGGACGTGCTGTGAACAGAAACGCGCCTGGCCACGGCAGTTCGCTGGAACCGGCGCCGGCGGCTCCACTGCTCTAGAGCCTCGGGGCCGTTCTGCTGCTAAAGGGAAGCCACCGCTCCCTCAGAAACTCTCCTTAAGAACCCCAGCGCTGCATCTAAGGCATTACACCGTTATTTGGCACCAGAGCCTGAAGGGACCCTCTGGTTCAGAGAGGTCTCTACACCGGAAAGGTTTACTGAGTCCCTTAAAATGTTTTCCTGAGAAGACAACGCGCTCTCTGCATCTGTCACTGCCCCGTACCACGGCAGCATGCCCAGCCCGACGCCTCGGAGCTACGGGCTCCAGTCAGTGCAGCGGCAGGGCACAGCTCAGTCACCAACTCGAGGTTTGTGCACAAATACACAGTTACACCTTTCTGCTCTGTGGCACCCGCCACCTGTGCCAACGGCTAACTTCTCAAGTGCGGCAGGTTTTAGCTGTCACCATCATCCACAGGCTTTTCACTGACTACACTGAGCGGGAGAGCTTAACCAGAGTAGGTGAGTTTGGGTCACCTCACAAGCCAGCTATTCTGAACAGAAAGAAAAATCGTGATTAATCTAAAACCACTTGCCCTTATTAGCAAGGAAAAGAAAAATGCAGCCTAGAGTCTCCCAGAGCTAAGAAACAAGCAAGAGGATCAGAACTTCGGCTTGATTTCCAGTACACCACAGGACACTACATTCTAATGTTATATCCTGTGGCTAACCCACACTTCACCTGTCTCCAGTCCATATTAAAAAAAGTCTTTGTGAAAAAAGAAGCTTCACAAGCTCATTTGAGGTCTGGAAACACTAACTTCAAAAGAGGGTACAAAAGCTCAGAGACTGTTCAGTTAATACACTTTAGAACCATGCTAACTCTTTTATGGTATCTTGACAGGGAGAAATCAACAGGTACCTATATGTCTCTTCAAGCCACTGGCAAATCAATACCTGAGTCAACAACAAGGATATAGAATGAGAGAAATTCGTACTAGAAAAGAACAGGCTTCCAGGAGTGGGGATAATTATTCATCAGGGGAAAGAAAAGGTTTCCTCAAATGAAGAAGAGAATCTTTATGAAAAATATACAAATACAAGCTACTGACCCCAATGCATAAATAAACAGAAGAAATTTAATACAGAATTACATTATTGAGCATTCAAAACCCGAATGTTCCCTCTCTCGTGGCTGAAGCACAAGCTGTATACAGCCCTGACACACTGTGGGAGGATTCCTAGAGCAGCATTTCCACAGCCCACTATTCAGCTTGGCAGGACTTTCAGCGTAACCTTCAAACACAATGGCACAAATCAAATGCTATTTAATCCTTTAATACAATTGTACTCTTGCTAAATCCAACAGCCTGAGACAGGAGCTGAACCAAAGCCTGGAATGTATTAAAATCCAAACTCTTGATAGACCCCGACGGACCAGTGCTTTTGTACTTTCCTCTGATAGTAGTAAAGAACATTATTTTCCCTTTATTAAGCTTTTCTGCCTTAATTATTCTAGTTAACTATTTTGATGTATTACACCACAGAGTGACTCTCCTACCTGCAGGACAGTTGGCGGTGTAGACACAAAGCAAGTGCAGAGCTATGAGCATGGAGGGGTCGTCCGTTAAAAGCCACGGCCACAACGAATGCAGGACAGGAACGAGGTGAGCTCTGAGTGCTGCCACCTACGAGAACACGAGGAAGAATTTAAACTACTGTACTATCAGATACTTTGAAAATGACGTACAAATAGAGAGAGAAAAGCATATTTTTATCTTATTGCGTCCATTAGTTTGCTTTAAAAGATTAAAGGGACAAAGAAAAGTAAATGGCAAATTATTATTTAGGGGTTCCTTTTTAGGGTTTTTTTGTTTGTTTGGAGGTTTTTTGGTCTTTCAGAAAGGGAAAGGAAAAAAGGAGAGAGGAATAAGGAGAGGAAGCTGCTTTCCAAGATGTGAAGTGTATCTCTTATGCACCTTCCTTGTGGCCTCACACTCTTCTCCCCATCCATTTTTCACATTATATGCTTTGAAAACTGGAATTCTTGATTAAGCAAAGCAGAAGTAGGTATAAAGGATGACAGCTATCTGAAACCCTTGGGAGATGATGTTTCAATATGAACATTGAGTTCTGAATGCACGTATGAAATATTCTTAGGAAGTGGGAATAATAATGAAGCTTGAAGTATTTCTTGCCATTAATATCAAACTTAAATTTAGCCAGCTTGAAAATAATTTCAAAGCAGAACAAAACCCATAATTACGATCTTCATTCACTAACTGAACGTGCTCACGTTATTTTGGTACAAGAATACTTACTTTGCATTCTTCATTTTGAAAGAGGCAGTTTCTGAGGAGCTGCATAGAACACCTTAACTGCTTGATAAGGTTATCCTCCTATGCAGAGAAAAACATTGGAAGATTATCAACATAAAACCAGAATGAATTTTGTACAAGGAGGAAAGATTTCAAAGGAGAGGTGCCAATCTCAGGCACCCACGCTTGGGTCACGTCTCGTCAGCAGAGTTTCCTGCCGGTCTCAGGCAGGATTCACCTCAGCTAGCTTTAAACACGTACACCAAAGACACGGACAGCAAGCACACTGGGAGTCATCCTCACCTCTCTCTGTAACCCACAGACGCTATTTGCTGCAGGGTCACCGATCTGGCCAAGCCAGACCTGTCATGCACAGCTCCATTGATTTCTGTTGCTCCTCCTGAGGAGTGGGTGGGAACCCTTTCTGGGTATTTGTTCCACCCTAAAGCAGAGGTCTCAAACAAGTCAAAGGAATCCCTCCCTAGAAGCACTTCTTTTTCTCCTTGGATAAAACTAAGGATAAACTAGCTCTGTCTTGCAGACCTCTACACTTGGTCAGACCAATCCATCCTCGTATTCCCAGTGTCTTAGTTCCCTGTCCTTACTAACGGGAGTGATTTCCAACCTGGTAAGAACATTACAAAGATAAACACAGACCTCTGGACAGTGAGGCACTACACCGAGACTCAAGTACACAAGTAAACAAAAAAATTTATCTTCATGATGGCACCGTGACACTAAAAGGCCAATGGTGGCTGCCCTAACTTCTATCAGGTGACATCCTAAACCACTTCTGAAAGATGACTGAATTCCAGTAAGCTTGTTCACCACAGGAGACCATTTCTGTTCTATCAAGCATAAAGGAACAAAAATGTAAAATAGGATTCAAGCTTAATCTCAGACAAGGTGAAGCAATAACGCTTGCTTATAAATCATATCATGTACAGTCGATGACATTTAGAGAGGAAGTAAAAGTCTATCTCAAAAAAGTTAATGAAAGTCAGGCGAGGCAGATCAACAAGACACACACAGGGCATCATGACAAATGCGTTTCATGACTGGTCTGTCTCATTTTTAGCTAAATAAAATGCTAACTCCAGGATGTTCCTTCAAGAACTTCCATATGTATGTATTTATTTAATAAAGACAAACAGAAGCAAATCCTACAGAAAGCCACAAGCTACAATTTATGCTTAGTGTGTAAACTTCTAAGAGGTTGAAAAAGTTAGATTGTGTTGATAGCACTGTATGTATTTATTTTAGGATACCTTGATTTTTACAAAGACCTACATTGAGGGTTTTTTTGGAAGCTTGGCTGTTTGTGAATACTTTTCATGCCCTTGGTTAGCATCACAGTAATTACTGGGGGAAAAAAAGAAGAAAAGGAGTACCGGGTAAAATACTTCAGTTGCCCTGAGAACGAAGCTAGGTTGAACACATTTTTCAACAGTTAGAAGAAAAGAAAGAGAAAAAGGTCTGATAACTCCAGTTTGAGGGCTGTGCCTCGAAGGGCAGCTGAGGGGCAGCTTTGTGAACAGCCACGAAAGCTGCCTGTGAAACAGCGCTCCAGCTCCCTCAGGTGAAACGAGACGGCTTGTCGTGCGGCACCACACGCTTACACGGGCTGTAGCAACCCACAGTCCCAGCTCAGCAGGGAAACCTGCCACAAAGTTTTTTGCAAATCTCTTTCAAAGATCTTAGTTAAACAGTCTTTCTGACCTTTCTCAGAGGCTCCTTTCCTTCAATTTCTTTCAAATCTTAAATTTCTCCTACATTTAGCAGAGGAGCAAGTGTCCCCAGCTTCCCCCTTCTCAACCCAAGAAATATAAAGAACCAGCTGACTTCAACGTTGCTGGACATACCCAGGGCAGGACACCCTTCAACCCCCACCCCTCAAAGAATGGATAACAAATGTGTTCAGGAGATCAAGAAAACATATCGTAGCCTTCAAATGTCAGGGTCAAACTCAAAATCTTTTAAGAGCTCATTGTTATAAAACACAGTCTCACGCTCTCACAAATCAAGGCTAATGTCTGTTTGTGCCAACGCCTCAGAGAAAAATACTGCTGAGCTCAAACAATTCAGAAATACACTGCAGGAAGATGTTTTCTGCAATTTCTGCTTTATGTGGGAGTGGACAAGATACCAAACTTGACAGCAGAGGCTATTGTCTGTATTTGAATAACTCTCTTCGACAAAAGTGGTAGAAAACAAGCAGATGGCAACAAAAATCTTATGAAACTGTTATGGTGGCAACAAATAATCTATGCCTAGATGTGGTAAGGAAGAGCTGGGTGATGTGAGAGGCTGGAACAACTGGAAGGGAGGTTAAAAAAAAAAAAGGCTAAACAAAGAAATTGGGAATGGAGAAAAGAGACTGGTAGTACAGGTGGTGGCAGGACCACAAGTATGAGGTGAAAAAAAAACAAAACAACAAGATCTCTGACAAGAAGTTAAAGCCAGGGACAACTGAGTCTGAAGACAAGAGACTGAGACGTCTGGACCGAGTACGGAGCAGGACAAGAAAAGAATTAGAATTGGAAGCCAGATAATGTGAGAATGTAGAGAATAAAAAAAACTGTGACTTGCACGCACAAGCAGACTGGAAGTGGTTTTGGGGCGGGAGGGAGATTGACTGGTACAGGAACAGACAAAACCAGAATGGCCAGCACTGGTTGAAAGACACTGCGAAAGAAAACCTGAGAAACAGCAAATTATTATTGTGGAAACAAGATGGGAAAAATCAGCTGGACTGGACAGGACCGTGACATCAAGGCTACAGTCCAACTACGTTTGAAAATAACACAGTACCCCCAGACATTGTTGTAGGCTAAACAAACATCATAAATTGGGAGCCCCGACAGGTGACATGTGGATGAACGTGCATGTGTGCGAATGTCTGAACTGAACTCCTAAACCCTCAGTCAGAAGCCTGCGGGCTTCAACCAGCGTGGGCTAGCTGCTAATTCGGGAACCAGGACTAGAAGTGGGAAGTCCTGAATCCTCCAGTTAATGAAAAGACACGAGACAGAACCGCTAGTTCAGAGGCTGACCACGGGTTGTGCTTTGCACAGAGGTTACTTAAGTTAGGTAAACAGGAGCTTAGAGCCCTGGAAAGAGAAGCTGGTGGCAAAAAGAGGACTCCTGAAAAGGAATGGTCTCTGAAAGAAAGTAATGGGCCCAAAAAGAAGAATGTGAAGATCCTGGCGGGAGGAACAATCCTGCAAGTGGGAGAAAATCCTGGAGACCAGAGATGCCTGGAAACAAACACCAGCGCACGCCCAGGGGCTCTGGCCAGTAACACCCCAGGCTGGCAACTGAGCAGCTGCAAAGCACAAACTGATGTGATTTCCTGCCTTGTTCTCCTGAACCAGCAGTCATCTCCCCGTTGGAAAAGGGAGACCTAGCAAACATAACTCTGGGTGGGAGAGCGAGTGAGAGATAACCGAGTTGGTAAAAAAAAAAATCATTGAATCGTAAAGAAGCCCCAATATCCAGATCCACAAGTTGTCATTTACTCTCTCAGCTGTGACACATACCAACAGTATCTGTCTCAAGAAAAAAACCCAAACCAACCCAACCAACCAAGAGCTGGGAAGTGCCTTATCACATTAGTCTTTTGGTTTTCATAGTTACCTTTTTTTTCTGTGCTTTCCCAGGCTTCAGGGAATCCACATTCAGCTGTGTGTGAATATGTTTCATGTCTTCTATACAGCTGTCTATCAGGTCAACTGGAAGACAAAAACATTAACATTTAGAAGTTCATTCACAATCAAAAATACTTCATGAAACATAAAATGCCTTTCTTGCAATGATCTTGATTACTGTTACCCTCCTGAACTGAGATGACCAAATTCTGCAAGTTCTTAATATATGGTTATCTTCTTGATACCAGGAAGTCACTAACGGTGTCCGAGATGGAGAGCGCCTAGTTGAATGAGCTCGAGAAGCAAGAACACATTTGGGTTCTCTTGCACCTGAGCCCGGTGAGAGGAATGCCCAAAGGAAGGGCTAATAAGATGGAGAGGGGAAGATGATTTGGGAGGAAGAGGACAGCAACTCATAACTCTTCAGGGTATCTCCAACAACACTGCCTAGAAGACTGAAGCTTCAAGAGGCCATGAGGGCATATATTCATCTTACCCAGCCCTTCCCTAACTGCAGCGGATTTGCTCCATCTGAGGACAGACAAAGGCAAGCAAATGTCCGGGTGACTCAAAGTGCGAAATGCGGAGGTAGGCTCTTTTCGTGGGACCTAGAGTCTTCAATTTGTCATGAGGTCATGGAGTGACTACATCAGCGGACAAGGGAAGAGCTACTGAAGTCATCTATCTGGACTGCTGCAAGGCCTTTGACACGGTCCCCCACAACATCCTTCTCTCTAAATTGGTGAGATATGGATTTGAGGGTGGGCTGTTCGGTGGGTGAGGAATTGGCTGGATGGTGGCATCCAGAGGGTTGTGGTCAATGGCTCGATGGCCGGATGGAGATGGGTGACAAGTGGTGTCCCTCAGGGGTCCGCGCTGGGACCTTCCCTTCTCAGTCTAACACAGAGCTGTGACCTCACCACAAATTTTTAGACTGGCTACAACACAGTATTTTGTCCGTGGCTGAAAACTATTAATATGCTTTCTCTGTAAAATCTGCAAAAAATACCACTGAAAACTAGGACTTTTGTTTTGACAAAAAAATTATGATTTAAAAAAAATGTGTAACACCTGCAAGCATTTGATTCGTAAATCACGTAGCACATTTTGACATGCTCACCTTCCAAAGCACACTTCTGGGCATGTTTGCTGACAGCTAACAGAGACAGCAGTGCGTTAGTAGCAACTTCTTTCAGCACATCCTTTGAAGATTTTCTTTCACAGACCTACAAATAATGCAATTTCATTAACGAAATGACAAGTGTCCATATTAAAAGCAGTATTCATATCTATAAAGATGTTGTCATACTTTCACTTGGGTGATTCATCACTACGTTGCTGTACAGAGTTCTCCGTCTCTATATTCATGTTTATAGCCTGTCTGCATTAAGGTGTTTCATTATTTTTTCTAATTAAAATGTAAAATTTTTTTTTCTTTTTTTTTTTTTTTGCTCCTAAGTCCAATTCTCTTACTCTTTTCTAAACATTCTACCTTCCTAAAGCCTAGCTTCCCTGCCCTGGCATTACAGACCTTCCTAATATTCAGGCCTGCAATCTCAGACAATCCACTGACATGCCTTTGGTGCCATCTCTTTCCTTCCACACAATGATGAAGAGACATTAAAGATCAGTGAAATTCTTTAGAATAAAAATACCATTGACACAGATGATTTTTTTTTTTTTAGATACTCTTTCAGCCAGAGAAAAATGGCCATTCGTCTTATTTTTGTGAGGCCTTTGTGAGCACCACTGTATTTCTAATAACATGAATACAATCTCTGTGCTTTCAAAGGAATATTTATTTGGAGTCATATAACAAGACAGTTGAAAAACAAGGAGCTGCCTGTGCTTTATATATTATCCACTAGAGAATTTTGTCCATCTAGCCATTTTCTCTAAAATATCATTCCAATACTGACATCCAATATAACGGCAAATGCATTGTAACGAGAAGAGTACAGTAAAATAACAGCTGTTGCTGGATCATACCAGAAAGAAAAATATATTTTAAAGTTAGCAAAAATAGAGCATCTTAAGAAAAACGGAATACTTCAGACAGATCTATCTCATGAGTAGCTAGCCACAGGACCTCATGGATTTTACACCTCTACACACATCACACATATCACCCGTTACTGGCTTTAGAACTCTAGCTAGTAACTGCCTAACGGATTTTTCAAATTTCAGTACGCAATAAAATACCAGTGTATGCTCTAGAGTAATCATCCATTGAAGTGTCCAGTGTGGGCAGGACTGAAAAGGTCAAGACTAGTAAGTCAGTAACTTCAAAGAAGCCCTCGTTGATAAGGGCAACTGACACCAAATTACAGCACCAAAGCACGGACTGGCTTCTGCATTTATAGCTAACAAAAAAATATTTCCCATTTAGACTACAACTGCTTTTACTAGATCCCAGGTGAAATCTCAAAGCTATCAGCAACACAGGAATGTTTTAAGTAAACTATTTTTCTGTACTAGTAGGTGGTGGTTTCTTTCCAAATTAAAGAATTCAGATGTTTGAGTAGTTAAAAATATAAAAAGCTTCAAGTTTAAACTTGATGTTAATTTACACAAGCCAGGAAAAGCCAAAATGTTGAGTTCTTTCAATCCTGCATAACGTGAAATGTAGGTGTTGTGATTCACCCCCTCAAAGGCTTTTGTCCTATTAAGTTGGTAGCTGTTTTTACTTTTCATAACTTTTTTATCGTTTGAGCTCTCTTATGAGCCCAGCGCAAGGGTCACCGACAGCTCTGAACAGAGCAAGTTAGAGTCTGGGTATCGTAAGATACCGGCTTTTGTCGTAGCGTCCCAGGTACTCCCACGGGCCTGGCTGCAGTTAACTCTCCGCTGCACAGACTTTTCCTGCGGTCACCCTAAGAACCACCACCTCTTGCTGGCCAAGTCTGGAAACCAGCTAGGCATTCTGGGCCCAGCACGGGGGAACACGGCTTACAACACAACACGTCTGTCTCTGACACTCGCCCGCAATCGCATTTGCTGCGCCAGAGCCAAGAGGTCAGTTTCAGGCACATGCATAAGCATTAAATACAAAAACCTAACAGGCTATTTAGCAAATTACGGGATTTCAGTGAAGTGCCCCTGTTCTGCTGTCAGTGTCTTTGAAAATCACGTCCTCCCAGGAAATCCCTCTGCACTGAAACGATCCGAAATCAGTTGGCGAGGGCAGAGGGAATTCTTGTTGTAGCGGCCCGAACAGCGACGCCAAGGAGGGCCCCCTCAGGAAGCCTCTCCTCCTGGAGAGACCCCAGGGTCTGGGCGGACAGGACGCTGTGGCCCATGAACGCTGCAGAGCCACAGCAGTGCGACCCAGCAGCAAAGGACCGCAGGGACGTCCGTGGGACGTTGGCTAGATCAGGGCCTGTCTGGGCAGGAGAGAGGTTGTCCCACCAGACTTCAGCAGCCGTGGGAAGAGAGGAGATCAAACGACACTAGGACAGCTGTACGCAATACGAAACGCACTAACACACGTTCGAAAAATATTGTTTTACATAGCAAAATAGTTCTAAATGTGATTCTTACAGAAACAAAATATTACAAGACCCTGACTCCAGAACATCAGAAGTCATAGCATACACGACACTATGAAACACTCATGTCTCAAACACTACACTTCTAGTCGTGGATCACTGCTGTTGTTAGTGACAAACCACACGTAATTTAAAGAAGAAAATGAGTATATAGATAAAAGAACCAATTTGTGAGGGAAAATAAATTAGACAAATTTCACATATAACCTTTCCTAAGTATTGGAAGATATTTTAACAGTCTGTAAGTAAGTGAAGTATCTAAATATAAAGGAATAAAAGAATCCTTTAGGACAGTACATAAATGTGTAAATAAGAATAACGAGATTACATTAAGACAGACAGAACATTCAGAATAAGTATTTGGAAAAAAATATCTTGTCACCAATATACATATTATGTCAGGCAACAAGTTCCTAAAAGAGTTACTGAAAATATGCTACCTGGCCAATTTAAAACTGGTTTGGAAAACACATTAATATATGCTCCTTAAGTGCAACAACACTGATCTTACACTATCAGGGAATGAACTAGAAGGGTTAATGATTCATGATTTTTATGACGGCAGCTGTTAAGAACAATGCTGTCTCGAGCCTTAACAATCTCATTACATGTTTGGAAAAGCAGGAAAAAAAAAGCATATCGGTATTCGGCCACACACGTTCCACCTATGCACCATCTTCCCTCCAGAAGGTTCACACCACGCTGCTGCAGCGTGATTGCCTTGCAAGGCACTTCCTGGAAGCTGCTGCTTTGCATTTGTTTCAGCTTATTACTTGAGTTTCAAAAGCAAGTGTAACAGAGGTCTCAAATTAAAGACATCTTGGTTCATAGCCAGCAAGAAGTGACTTTTCATCAGGTAGTTACATCCTTTTCAGCAAAATACAGAAGTGCAAAAACGTACTCTGCAATCACATCATCAGATTTTCAATACCTGAATAATTAACGTGGTAAGCTGAGTTACTGACGCCTGGCATCCTTCAGCCTGATCCAGAAGAAAGCTCATAGTCGGACTCTGACACAGACTCTGTTTCTCTTGGAGCTGCCTTCTTCCTTCCTCATTCAAGAGGCCAGAGAGGAACTGTAAACTAGCCACGTACAAAGCAGGACACGCGGCTGACAGATGAATACAGTCACAAATGGTATCTGAAAGGTTAAACAGAAAAATAAACATTTTGATATTTCATCCCGGATAAAGCTGAAGCGCTTTGCAACTCAGAAAGACTTATCAAAGAAAGTGCGGAGCCGAGCAGCAGTTACACCTGTGCACTGCACAGGGAATTCCACAGATGCTATGCGTTTGGGAAGTCTTTAAAAGTTTCAGAAAGAAAAGTTTGAGTTTTACAGTTTGAATGAATTAACTGCTCTGCATTAATTTGACTATAACACAAAAAACCAGCTTCCATTTGCTAAATCGCTCATTTGTTCAACAGCTTTCTGAACTCCCCTCACTTCACTCCGCAGCTCATGTTGTAATACCAACAGCCCCCAGCAGCTGCTTCAGGGCAGCTGGGTTTGGACCCACCGGGTCACTCAACAGGCTTGTGGCTGAAGTCCCCCACCCGAACGGACCACGCTCACGCTGCCGTACCGAGAGGGCAGAGACTTGGTGCCCTGCAGCCCCGACCAGGCGAGGAACCCACGAGGGAATAACTAACAGCAAACAAACAAACAACAGCCTGTATAATCATCCTGAACTCCTGTATCCCTCATCTCCCCTCAAAACTTTGCTTTCCTTTTATGTGAGCTATAAAAAAAACATATAAGGAAAAGAAATGAAGTGCTAATGGATCGTTTGAGCTCCACTCACAGGTGCCCTACTGGGTTAAAGTTTACAGCCAGAGTCACTAACCCCTATGTGGAAACAAAACCCGTGAACTGACCTGGCAGTTCAAACGTTAGTCTGGGGATGCAAGGAGGAACCATAAAAACTCCACTTAAGGGAACAAGTCAGTCAAGCTCTGGACAGACTTGGTTTTCATTCTGGATGTGCCACTAGTAATCATCCACTAGCACGTGAACAGGACCGTCCCTCTTTTCTGCTAGTTAGTTAATTTGACCAGCCGCTCGGTCAGCACCCCCAGGGCCAGGCGTTACCGATCAGAGCCGCACAGCGCTGGGCCAGGGCTGCCGTCACAGCCGGATGCGCTGCAGGGCCACCCTTCCACAGCAACGCCGCCAGGAGGCTGAAGGAGTCTGCCCACGTCTCGCGAAGCCCAGATGTTAACTCGGTGTCTGCAGAGACAAGCCGGGCAAACCGAACCGTTGACACGAGCGCAGGGGCCGGGCTGGCTCAGCCCGGCGGCGGGCAGCGAGGGACGACCCGCCGCGGGCCGGCCCTGCCGGGGACAGAGCACCTCATTACCCAGCCCATCTCCGGGGCGAAGGGCGAGGATCCCGAAGGCGTTCCCCAAGAGAGGCTTCAACAGTTCATCCTGCATTACCAGCTGGGAGTCCACCAACAAACAGGATTTCAGGAGCCTGGACACGGACGACAAGTACTGAAGCAGTAATAACACCTGTTGAATATTTTTGAAAAGACATGAAATAAAGCCATATATTTGCACCTTCCACATTTTTATAATTTAAATATATTACCTCAGCTCATTCATAGCATTTTGAATTAATACACACCACTTAAAAGAAATAACAGGATATAAATTAAAAATTGTTCCCCTAATTTTAACTGTAGAAAATGAAGCAGAATTCCTAGTCTGGAAACACATGTGTGAAATCCATTTTCCAGTGACCAAGAATAGAGTGTTAGAAAGTCATGACTCTTGTTCTACATACAGCGTCATATTCTCTGGACACTCACAGAGGAAAACATAAAAATGGTCATTAATATTGATGAGTATCTGTGTATTTGCTGAAAACAGGAGCTTGATTTGAAGCTGTATAAAAAAAATATTCCTGACATTTACTTATTTATTCTCACAGCACTTCTGCAGAAACACGTTTTCTGAATCCCCTGGGTACCTTTCTCCAAAGGAAACCCGAATGCAGAGCAACAGAAGCTTCAAACTGGTGCTGTGCCACCCACATCGTACGTTCTGTATGTTGTATGTACAGCTAAATTTGCTGCAAAAGCAGCTCCACTGGCAGTAACCCTGTATGCTTCGCACACAAAAATCAGGTGAGAACTACGTGTCTGCAGGACTGGAGTCAAACCAAAGCAGCCAGGTTTGTTGCGGAAAACAAACAAGAAATGTGTCAGTAACTGGCTCGTACTTCCACACCACACAAAGAAATCCCATTACATGGTTTCTGTAACTGCTGAACTCCAGCTGGATTTTTAAAACACAACTAGTTTTCAGTTTGATGGCTCGAGGTATCATTCCACCACAGACATCAGTCAGTCTGGTTGAACGTAACCCCGTTTATTGCCTCTGAAACCTTGTCAGAAGCACAGTCAGTCCCACGAATGAAGCCTACAGCAGCGCGTCTGGACTATGTTAACAAATACGGTTAGGCAAACACAATTAATCACATAATTTAAAAAAATTAGAAAGTAACAAATGCTTCTCTAACCTGAGCTTTTACATGTTCTATACGACATGGATGACCCAACGGAGCTTTCAGTTCCAAGAAACATCTCTCCACCAGATTAGCACTTACAAGACTAAAACAAAATAAAGTTGGTTAGAAATATACTTAAACAGTTGAATATTCTACTAGCTTAACATGAATTCCCATGACTCTTCCTGCACTGGTAAGAACTGTTTGTTTCTATTTGATGCTTATCTTCCTGGAGAAGAATGAGCAGCTCTGTAATGACATGAACTGCATTCAAGCACAGGGTGTTTTTTTCATTATTTGCAGTATGAAGAGCAACTACAAAAGCCCTTGAAAAATCCTAAAAAACCTTGAAGTAGTTGTCACGCTTCACTTCAGGACTTCCAAACACTGTCTACAGATGAAAGGATTTGTTACGATGCAAGTGGGAACACGGAATACAATCTGAAGACCGTTTTGATGTGGTTCCTTCTTTAAAATAGAAAAAAACCACCACGGCCTATTATCCAAAACTCTCCCAAACGCAGCAAGCATTATTTACTCCCTTTCGGTGTGACAGCCCTTGGCTCATCCTCAAACTATTGAATTCAATTCCAAGAAGAAAGTCATAAAATGAACTGAAATGATCTGCAATTCAGAATAGCTGACTGTATCCTGACCTGTTCTACTGAAGAAAAAAATAATTTTTTAAAAAGTTACTCCTCCAGAGAACGATGACTACCTGGCCGTGTAGAGAACCCTAACGCATTACCGAAGGAACACACAGTCCCGGAGGAGACAGACACCACAACCGGACTCACCGATACGACTGCCTTTTCTGTGGAAAAAAGGGATAACCCAAACTCTTCTGCTGATTGTGTTTTTTTAAAAAAGGCATTTCTGAACTTGCTTGAGAAGCAAGACGCGATCAATGTACTTAACAGCTTTGGTATGAAGCACTGGCAGGCCTCACTTCAAGCTCCCCGCCTGGTTCGCGGTTCAGGGGGTGCTGACCCGTACCTGCCGAGCGCCGGCAGCAAGCCTGCCTGCCCAAGGGCCGTCCCGGTGTCCTGGGGCGCGACCACCAGCAGGTTGTGCAGGAGGCTGCAGACAGCGGACAGGAGGGCAGGGGTGACCAGGGCACGCGGGCTGGAGACCGCGGCAGAGACGGGAGAACCCTGTGCACTCGGAGACTCCGTCGTGGTTGTGTCGCTTTGACCTAGACGTGTTCAATAAAAAAAACCAAACCAAACCAAACCAAAGATTAATTAGAGCAGTTACATGAAACAAACTGCTTTTTCCAAGCATCCAATCCCCTCTACATTTAAAACTGCACATCCTGGAATAAGGGAATAACAACCCCCCCCAAACCCAAGAACCCGCCCACGGGGAGATCAGATACAGGAAAAGCGCTACCCAAACCAGTTCTGGCACGGGCAGGCCAAGCCACGGCCTTCGCCACGGCGCACACGGACAGCGGGTCGGGCTCACCTTGGGCCATGAGCCGATTGGCGTCAGGAACAAAGCTGGCCGAAGCGGCTGGGACTGCTGCCTGCAGCTCGGCAACGCTCCCCAGCGACGGCGACGCAGACTGAATCTGGAAAGACGTACAAAGGAGACGAGCTGATTCCAGCTTTTACAGAGCAGCATTCTACTTCTGTTTTGCTTGAGCCGAGGGGGGCTGGCAGGGAACAACTCACCAAAACCGACAAACCCACAAAATCCACGTAAAAATTACAGTTCAAAACCAATTTGATTAAGTTTTGCTCACTACATGTATGTACATATATAAAGGCTACAAACAGCCAATATTTGAAGTTACTGAAAGATGAGCAATATGAACAGCCTGAAACATTTCAGTTAAAAACTGATCAATGCCCATGTTACTGGAAATTCCTCCTCTTCATCCTTCTTCATCCATATAATTGACTCTGTCTACATTTGGACTAAGACAGAAAGGCATTACTGAAGCATTTAAACTCAATTTTTTCATGGTCTATTTGCTCTGCTGAGGAGATCAGCACTTGTCCATTCGTACCAGACAAAAATACCACAAGGGCATTAGTCATCCACCGAAGTTGAACTCCCAGAGCCTTTCCAACTCCGGGCGCTTCTCTCAGCCTCAGTCCCGTGTTCCTTATGTCTGTTCACTTCATGGTGGAGACGGGAGATGTTCACACGACAGTGGACAATTTTGCTGTCGCACTACCATGCTCCTCCTACTAGTTCCACACGATCTATCATATCATTAACTTTGCATGCTTCCCAAAGTTCTTAATGCTCCTGCTGTTGTGCTTAAAGCCACAAGCTTGAGAGGAGACGACCCGGACTCTGCAGCTTAACACCACGCTCTTGTGACACGGCCAGACCTGTGACCTGTTTCAGAGTACCGGATAGGCATCGCCCGTGGCAGGTCACTCTTTCGACTTCTGACTTTTGTTTTTGTAGCTGGACAATTCAGATCAGGAAGTTTTCTCCAAGAGGGTCGCTGCAGAGTGTAAAGAGTTCAGAACGCTGGGGAATCCAGCGCAATCCCCGGACAGTCCCAGCCTGAGGAAGGATGTTACTAGACTTTTCCTCGCAGTGAGCTTTCTAAGGCAGACTGAAGTATTTCAAAGGTTTTCTTTTGAAAGTTTTACTAGAATATCAGTTGGAATATTTTTTTTTTTTACCTCAGGAAAAGCCAAAAGTGACTTAATTGACAGAACGGGTGGAGGGAGGGAAAGCACGGATTACCCCCTCCCTACCCACCGTATCCTTGCGGCTCGGTCACTGCCTTCCAGGCGTGGCCTGGATTTACTTGGCAGCATTTTGAGCTACAGAAACTCTCCACTCAGTCTTTTCTCATCCCCTAGAAGGTTTAGCCCCCCTCCCACCCCCCCTCACTTCCCAATACTGCTAGGCTTCGGCCAGCACGTCTTCACTCGAGCCCCGAGCCCCCGCGTGAGCGAGAGGCTGTGCCCCACGCTGTGAGCCCCTCCTCTCCCCAGTTTCCCTCTGGTCCCCCACCACTGTCCATCCTACAGCCCCGGCTCTCTCTCCCCAGGCACGCCCAGCCGCCCCGCAGAAAGCCAGAAGGTTACTGGGACGCGGACACGTCACGGCCAGACTGGGGCACGCGTCGGGCACGCGGGACCCACACGCGGCTCAGGTCACGGCCGCACGAGGCTGCGCTCGGCAGCGTCAGCAAAACCCGCACCAACTCGTACCCACCGACCGACACCCAAATTCTGTGCAGATTACACAAACAAAACCCGTGTTTGCTGACTGAAATAACTGATTTAAAGTTTCATGCTTGCTGATTTAAGTAACTATTAAAATCCATTATTTATGTTATAGTAAATCAAGCCATCTTGCCACATGGTAAATCCCGCACTTGCTCAGCACTATACTTCCATTCCAAGCATTCTAGTGAATCACAAAATAAATAACGCTTTCTTAAAAAGAACAAACCCAGAATGCAACTTCTAATAGTCCATAAGGTTCTTCTGCAAAAGGTAAAGCCCTAAAAGGGATTATTACCACGTTGAGAGTCATCTTAAAGATGCTATTACGAATTTATACAAGCTTCCACATATTAAGATTCTTCTACATCACACAACAATTCTTTCTCCATCTTCTAAAACAGTCTAAACAGTCCGGGGCAAAGAAATCAAAATAAGGTCTTAGATATGTTAAAAAATAGAGTCAATAAAAGCTCTATCTGGTTAGAGAAAAAGCAGCTTCCTGCACGGATGGAGTGTTTGCTGGTCACTGCTGTGCAGGGGGACGCGGGTTAAATCAGAGCTTTCCTGCTCCCGCAGCAGCAAACACACCGTCCCGCACCGAGGCTGCTCCCAGCGCTCTGCTGCCCGGAAAGAAGAGATCCCAGCGCCTCTGGCAGTGCCTCTGGCGAGGGTGAGCGGGGGGCCCTGTGCCCGCTGATGGGCAGGGGCTGCTGCCCCACACCCCCCGGGAGCGCCGGGCACGCTGCTGCCAAGAGCCGCCTTCGGAAGGGGCTGGAGCGGGGAAGAGAGGGGGCTGCGTGTGTGTGCGGGGGTGACGACTGCAGAGCGGAGCCAGCGCCGCAGGACACCAGCATCGTCCGAGCGGAGAGACAGGAGCAACGTGAGGCTGTTACCGCTTATCTACGAGAAAGGAATAAAAGGTCTTTTCTTAACCTCCAGTATGAAAATCCCCCTGGCATCGCTTCCATAGGCGTGCAGTGACTAACCCTATGCAGCTCTCCTCCCTAAGGCTTAAATCACCCAGCTGTACTGCTTGGTAACCATGGCTCCACAAAACGGAGCACACATTTTCATAGAACAGCAAGAAAACGTCAGAGGAAAGAAAGGCTGTGGCTTGAAGCTGTCTGGGAAATGCCTGCAGGCCTCTAACCTGCCCTGTTTTTAGCTCAAGTTTTGAAATAACTGGTTGCTCCTTTTGCTGAGCAGCCCCAGGCCCAGCCCAGCCCGGTGGATCTGTGCAGCCCCACGCGGACCAGCGTGCTCAGCCGTCCGCGCCGGCACGGGCCAACACGCTGGATAAAGTGAGGACTTGCTCTCTGTGACGATAACCTGAGTGAACTATGAATGCTATACAAGACAACCATGTTTCATCTTCTCAGAGCTGGGCTTTTGGCAGTGCCCACATCCCAGTTTACTGAAAAATAAATTGCACACAAACAGCTGTAATCCACCGAGCTCTTAAAGACACCAAGCACAGCGCCCAGCAGTTAACAGCGTACAGGCAATCTGGCACTGCTGCTGCCTTTTACATGACCTTCAGTCACTGATTTCATCCCCACACTGCTATTCCATGGGCAAAATGGTACTTTTGGCCTCTGCAAGACCTCTGACAGACTATTTTATAGGCTAAGGTAAAAAAAAGGGAAGATTTCTGTTATTAAGATACTTGCTTTTTAATTTTCTCGATTTTACTTTCTGCAAATTTGCAGATGTGGAAAAAAAAGATGAATGCAAAAGGTAATTTATTTTCACTTAAGGTTATATGAACCTTGTGTGAAATTAGCCCTTGATAGCAGACAGCTCAATTAAAGTACTGATTATGTGGAAACTGAAAACAGACAAACCCAATCGTGTCTTTTTCTTTTTGCCAGAACTGTTTTCAAACCTTAAAAAAAAAAATCATCAGACCTTTTCTCTTCACAGAAAAGAAATTCACATAATTCAGTAACGAGACATCACTTTTGCTTCTGCAAAGATCTTCAGGATGTGGCTCACTGAAGAAAAAAGCTGGTTCAGCTTCCCAGGCTGACATTCACAAAAGGAATGGAAATGGACATCTTCAGAAGTTTTTTTGGGTTTTTTGTTTGTTTGGTTGGGTTTTTTTTAAAGCATCATTAAAATACCAGAGAAGAGCTTCCAACCGAACAATTCTGCTCGGTCTGACAGCTGGTGACTCTCACCCATTTGTGGCTGCTGTCACCAGACCTGCACCACGCACAAAGCCCCGTCTTTCCCGTCAACAGCCGGCCAGCAGGCTCCCCTCCACGGGCGCTGATGGGGCAAGCGTGCCCCCTCGGGGGAGGCAACACCGACAGACAGCCCGGTATAGGCTGCTGTGCCTGGCGTCACAAACGCAGCTCCTCCTCCTCCACCAACACGGAAAGCTTTGGGCTAAACTACAGGAACGTGAAGTCTGAAGTTGTACAGGAATAAATGGCAAATGTCTGATTCCAGCAAAAGTCTGAGGTTTTAAAAGTATCTCCAGCCTTGACTAGATAGGCTCTCACGAGTTGTTAGCTGCCCTGGGAAACACAGCCTGTATCAGCCTCAGTTCCCCGCCTCTGCCTCTCTTCTCCTCACTGATATCGGCGTTGGAACGCCAGACCTCGGCATCTTCCTTCCAGCGGGGAAACCTCCCGTCCCTCAGGTCAGCGCCGGGTTTGCCTTCAAGGTTAATAAACCAAGAGTTTACAGCTGCTGAAACGGCCCGTCAAGGACAAATGGAACGTCAGTTAACCTCCACAAACGACAAAGTTTGCGTGTGAAGCCTTCTCACGTGCCAGGGGAAGGAGGAACCCAGACCGAACCCCAAACTAACAACTCTCCTGCGTAGCTGCAAGAGCACCACCTCAGCGAGCGCGCAGGCCACGACCCCTGGAAGGCTGACACGAAGGAGGGCCTCGGCCCGGCCCAGGGCTCCCCGCTCTCAGCAATGGGCTGTCCTGTCCGTCCGTTTGTCGTCACATGGCGCTGCAGGGCTGTGGTGCCACCTTGCGCGTACAAATAAACCCCAAAATTCAGAGTACGCTCGACAAAACTGATTAAAGCTACTTCAGAGTAAATTTCAATTTGGTTTCAGCTTTTAAATTTTTGGTTGAGTTTCAGTTTTGGTTTGTGTTTTGTTGGGGTTTTTTTTTTTAGCATTCATAAGAGTGCTAGATTTCTTCAAAGCATTTCATGAACAACTTTGTACTTAAAATGAATAGCTATTTCTGCAAGTTACCATAGTTTCAGATGTTGACTGAGAACGTGAAGATTGGCTTTGACTGGATGGAGCCTTCCAAAGATTCAGAGAATCATCAAGATCTGTAGGAAAAGAGAATAAAAATCAAAGACAAACAAAAAAGTTTTCTTGTTCATTACTACAGGAGCAGCAGAGAGCACAGCAAGCTTTTCAAAGGGTTGTTTCAGTGAAACAGAGAAGTAGCCAACCACAGTCCTCCTCCTGAAGGTCCTGGAATAGAAGTTCTCACACAATGCACCTAGGAATTCTTATCCAGCAAATCCCTTGAATAAACAGAAATTAAATAAAATACAACTTCCAGTGCAACATGAAATACTCCAGCAAAAGCTACACTTCGCTCAAGCTGCAGTTGCATCGCCTTTAGTCATCTGAAACAGTTCGGATTCAGTTTTAACCAAAGTGTAATAGCACAAGAGTACTGGAGACACTGGGGCCTCACAGCACAAGGGTCCTCGTCTTCAAAAAGCTTCAAATCCGCATCTTAAGAGAAGCGGTTTCAAGAGAACCCATATTCATAAATACAGCGAAGGCAGAATTACTTTGTAGATCTGCTTCAGAATAAGAAGTGCCAAAAATGTTATAGCACAAACCTGCCAATAACAGGTTTTGAGGCTTTCATATATTAGAAGAGGAAACAACAAAGAACAAAGCACCAGGTTACACAGATTCTGAGTGCAAAACCCACAGAAGTACCAGGCCTACACGTATCTCAGCTAACCAGGAAATTGAGCCAACTGATTTTATTTTTACACGACTTTGCAGATGAGGGATTTTTTATATTCCTGAAAAATGTGAGGAAAATACATTGAGGAAGAAGTGTCAAAAATGGTTTCAGGAAGATAAACCAAAGCCGGCTCTTCCCCCGAGAGATGACAAGGGACCTATCAAAAGGCAGAAACAGGTCACTGTAGACAAACAACAGTCCTGAACCTTATCGAATGAAGGACTTAAAAGCCTTTCAAGCACTACAGTTTAGAGATGGAGCAAACATTCTCCTGTCCTCCCTTTTTTTAAATAAAAACCCCTTTGTTTCTTGCTCCTGAAGTGTCATACATGATTCCCCCCCCCTTAGTTCAAAGCTCCCGGAAAACCACTGTTTTGGCTTTGCTTTTCAATGACCTGATAAAACTTCTCTCAACTGCTCACTGACAAGTTCTACACTCCTGGAGTTTGAGCTGCTCTTAGCTATGCTATTGCATCAGCTAACAGAACTACCAAGAGGCACAAATAAGAGGACCATGGGAGGAATGAAATGTGCTGGACTGAAAAAAATTACACTTATCGATCAATAAAGCAGCCACAGAAGCAGCTGAGGATTTTTACGGCTGGAATTTTGTACGCTGCTGAGGTACTTCTCTGATAACTCAGTGGGTTAACCAAGAATATTGCTTTTCCTTGGGTCTGTCAAAGTCATAACTTGGCAAGGGAAATACTAATCCTCCTCCATTGAGGTTTCTGTAGCGTGAGTTTAACAGAAGCACACCCACAAGAACTGCTTAAACCTGCAGCCTTAGAAGATGGAAATACAGCAACTTCAGCACACACAAAAGAAACCAAAAAGGATGAACTTGTTAATCTTCCCCCCCTTGAACAGTTGTTACTAATGGAGCTCTCTGGATAAGGATGCGGGTTCCCACCAAGCATCCCAGCAAGACTTAGAAATACTGTTCAGAAAACGTTTAGTCCCCATAAAAGTCAGATCTGAAACACTCCAAGGGTACACAGGTTAAAAAAAAAAAACCACAAAAACAATCCAATCTGAGTACTAAATTTGGTAAGTCTATCAATTAAATTCTATCTGTCTGCCTTGGAATTCAGCTAACTTCATCACACTGGAGTCCGCTCCTGCTCCTGCATCTCTGGGGCTGAACCCAGCAAGAAACAGAAGTAGGAGTCTTTGAAACGGTCCGTATGTTTCTTTTTTCCTGAACTTTCATTGTACTGTTCTGTCAAGGGCTGTAAAAAGGATATTTACCCCCAATATTTTGAAAGAAAACGTATAGCAGAACCAATTACATCTCTTCCGTCTGCAGCTTTTCAAAGATGCCAATAACAGCTCGGAGCTTTTTCCGAGATATGTTAAACCAGCGACCTACCGACTTCTTAAATCCTCAGAGTGATATTCTGCTTCGCAACATCTTTAAGTTCATGGTCGATACATTCGCTTTCAGTTCCACTTCTAGTAAGAACTATTTGAGGCACGTTACTCAAAACCAGGGGTTACTTAAGCAGGTTTCAAACACTACAAGATCACACTAACACCGCTTACCAGTTACACCACCTCTTTCCGTGGTGAGGCTGTCCGCCCTGGAAGAACTCAAATCGAACGTGTGACAGCCGAGGTAGCAGTGCTTCACCATCTGGTGCACGTGCTCGTAGAACTGGCAGTGACACAAGAGGGCCTGCAGCGCAGGTTTCCCTGTCCGAGAGAGGCTCGACTCCTCGTCGTGCACGCAGGGACCCTGAAGACACGAAATTCAGAAACGTCGTTTCTTTAAAGGCATCTTTAACATAAAATAAACTGAATTAAGTCTAATAACTGTGTATGTGTGTGTATACACACAGGCTGCAACCAACAGATTCCAAAAGTCAAATGTACATTTTAAGGCTGAGCTAAACCATAACACTTTACAAAAACTGTAGTGATTTAGCAAAAGTAGCTATTCCGCACCCAAGAAATTTGTTAACAGTAGAAAGCCACGGAGAGCTGTAACTGGGCAGTTTTGAGACAGTATATGCATCAAGAGACTTTACGATTTCGATTTCTCATTTAATTCTACTTACAGATATCAACTAACACAAAAATTCTCTTTAGAAAAAGAGCGCACTCGTACCACGGTAAGAGTAAATATCCTGAAAAGGCCTGTTCTAAAGTATTCTGCCATCATACTACCTCTGTCCATGTCAATGCACAATGCACCATGATACAAGATTTATTTAGAAAACAAGACATAAAAAGAAAGAAACTATCTTTGAAGAATGGTTCTCAGTCATTTCTTTTTAAAATACTGACTTCAGGGAAAACTTTCTAGAGCAGTGGACTTACACCTGAAAGATTTCACCATCTTATTTCAAATAAATAGTTTGATTTGACTGCCTTTGCTACAGTATTTCTCCAGTGTTTTCTATAGCAAAATTAGACAACAAGAAGTTTTATTAAGCTACAACATCACCTCTTTTAGAGTGACCATAAGAATCAGAAGAGTTAATTGGCAAAAAAAGCCAGACTGAGAAAAATTCAAACCAATTACGTTCTGCAAAGCAGTTGTAAGAGGCATCTTCAAAAATAAACTAGTTAAAGTTACAGAAAGAAAACTCATCCGTGCCCATTAGCAGCTTCCTCTGGCAGTCAGGAGAGCGCAGAGGTGGATGGACTGCAAAGAAGCAATCTGAAAAACACCTCTTGTCCCCAGGGGGCTCTGTAGGTGTCCCCAAGCCCTCCATTTACACCGAACGCAAGCTTGCTTTCCAAGAAACAAAACAAAGCAGTTTTGGATGGCTACTGCTCATCCTTTCTGGGTTTTGTCATCCATAAACAGACTATTGTCACTGCTTGCCTTTGTGCCAAGCGAAGGGAAGCGGGTGTGACAGCCTGAAGACGAGCGGTATCTCATGTCAACCGTCTAGGGGAACTACACAACTGCACTTGTGCACGGCCGGCAGCACACTTAGATCTATCAACTACGACAAACGCACGCTTCGGAGATTTGGTCAAAATTTTACCATCCAGCACTGCCTTTGCCAGCCGAAAACGCCACGGCAGCCACTCTATGCGC